GCAACAAGCCAATCACCTGCCTATAAGGGTGATAAGAACCACGAAAGGTATGGCTACCACTTCAAGCTGAAGCCTCTGAATAGTTAAGAGAAACCATTCTTCACTGAAATGTGCCTAATTTGTCTTCTAGAACCAAATGGTCCCAAAGACACTTATGGGTCCAAGTAAAGGTTATGTTTCAAACAACCCCTGCTTTTGTGGTTGCAGACTGTCATGCCCTGTGAAATAAACATTTAAATGTGGAGTATTTACTGTTTCTAATTTCAAGATCTGGAATGACAATGGCCGTGGAACTTTCAAATATTATAACAGCAAAGGTTTTTAATGAAGTAGGTTAAGCCAGATTCAACTGCACCACAGAACTGTGTGAATAAAACGGCATAATGAACTAGAAGTGTGGCACACTCCTGCTTTCAGTGTAAAGCATAGGACCTTAATCACAACAGAAGTTATGCTGGGTTTGTCCTTTGGGTCAAGCAAATGATTCCCTCAAGACACATTGATAGACTACCTTTATGCTTCTAGCTGGAAAAAACTAATGCAAGTCACTTACCTTGGCATTGAAATCCTTGTTTTCCAAATCCCCTGCAACAAAAGACTATGTTAGCAAAATAGTTGCTTATTTTGCAACATTAGCGTCAATTAAATCAAATTTTAACTTCAAGTCTTTGCTTAAACAGCTCGCTAAAGTACAAGTCTGACAATACTAAGAAATGCGCTTGTTGAGTTGTGGAAATTAAACCTATAAAACGATGCACAGTTTACAGGGCAACTACAGTATTTACAAACTTGCATGTAGAACACAAGTGTAAACAAACTTGCACAGCATTGCATTGGTTGCCGTTCACCACATGTATGGGAAAAACATTGTGCCATAACACCTGGGTCAGTAGCCTATGTGACTGAAATCCTGCCTGCATCAGCTGTCTAAACTGACATTTAGAAATGCTTACCATATGAAGTCTGTACAATGGCTGCAAAACGTCGGCTGCTTGAAAAACCTCGCAATAAATTTATGGTTTTTCACTTCATGCACATTTTTCTGCCGCAAAGCACCTTGGCGGGCGAATCGGTTCCCAACCCCAGCGGAATCATTGTAATGCAAAAGATGGTCAGCCATAATGAAACAAAAAAAAAAACTACACAGCCACAACTTCGTCCCGTCCCAACCGATTTCTGAAGTCCTCGTCTCTTCACAGCCCTTAACAAGTGCTGCTTGAAAGCCCGTCCCGCATGCCTCCCCAGTGCCTGGACCACGCTGAGCGCTTCTTTTTCATTCAAAGTGACGTCGACGAAGGGTGCCTTTGGATACTGTGGGAATCCTGAGCACATGAAGGGGCGCGTCCACTTATGTTCTCCATGTGTAAACTATAGGTCAGGATATTTTGTTGCAAAAATAATTTTAACATTTTGAGTTTTAATGACATCAAGTGAAAAGGGATCCTTACCTGAGCACTATCGCTGTACAGACATGCGCTCCTAGGTTGTATATCATTTCATATAAAAGATGTGCAGGCATACATGCAAAAAGTGGTGAGGCAAGCAGGTCACTCATCATAATGGTCAACTGACTGGATCATCTTTTAGACAAAGGCCTAAGTGTGTTGGCATTATCATCTGTAGACTACCTGTGTTATATGTAGGCTACCAGCAAGAGAAAGTGAATAGTGATAGAAAGGAACTGGATGAAAAAGTGCTTCATAAGTCAAAGTCAAAGTGTTTATTGTCATATGCACAGTACGGAAACACGTTTCCCTGTACAATGAAATTCTTACTGTGCCATCCACATGAATGCCACACAATACAAATGAAATGTAAAGTAGATAAATAACTAACACAAAATCTAAGGCACTTTAAAGCAGCAAATGAAAAGAAATTTGAATGATGCAATTCTAAATCAATTATAGTTTAGCTATGGCTGAATACATTTGTTTTTGCAACTATTATTTAATAATAGCACCCGCTGATTTTGTTGTTAGATCTGTCCAATTATACCAAAATACTGGAAGAGGTATATATACGAGGAGCACTTGAAGGTAACATATTCCTCCATTGCTGACCGTATCACAAACTGAAAGTGCTGTGCGCCATCCTGTGGACTACACTGCAGGTCCATCATACACGACTCACACACCCGATAGGCTACTGTGAAATAGCTGAAATAGATGCTCTATGTGTCAACATTTAATTTTGATCAGACTAAGAGTTGAACTAATTTTTTTCGTTTAAGCCAGGGCAATTAAAAAGCGTTTTTTAAATGAAACATAGCCATTTAAAAGCACGAACAAAATTAGCGTATAAAAATGTGCAGGAATACGATCAGAAAAACTAAACGGCAAAAACAGACAATGGAGGCTAATAAAATGTAAGGGAAATAAAGGAAGATGCGTTTCCATGGCAACAAGTAGACGCTACAGAAAACGGATGTGGCGTAAAGTTAGCACGACAAAGTTTTGAACCATTTTGAGCGGCGAAATCAGTGCTCAAGGTAAATCGCTTTTTTTGTCCATATTATACATTTCCAAAAATAACGAGTGTTTCAGCGTGCCATTGGTCTCTTAATAAAAGCCTGTGAGAACCATTGCTGCACTGCGAGCATTATTAGACGGGTCTGTCGCGGCTCGGCTAACGCTATTTGCTACATGTTTGCCCAGTATCAGACTGTCAACTAATTCTCTAGCTAGTTTGTTAGCACCGTTAGATAGAGCTATTAGGTAGTTGTTATGACATGTCATGCCATCATTACATGACACGATGTTACCTTGTCTCAACACGGTCTGCACTCTGTGAATACTTAGGTCAGCTACAAGCACTCCTTGTAACGTCCGCTAGCTAATCTAGTACATTATGTAGACAACGCTTGTTAATAGAGTGACGTTAGTTAACTTGAAGTTGCTTATTACTAGCCGTTATAACAATTTAGTCATCCCTCAGGATACCATGAGCAAATATGAGGATTCATGGGAGAGACTGGACACAGAGTTTGACCATTTCCTGTTGGACATGAAGCCATATGTTCTTAAACACCCCAACAAGACAGGTGGGATTTCATTTAATCTTGGTTAATTTTATTAAACGCGTTTAATTAATCATGAATAAACATCACTGGAAAATTGCTGACTCGGTTTTGTGCTGCTTCAAGAATATATATATAAGCATAGCATCATTTCCACTGTCCTTCACTCTCCCTATGTTGTCAGAGCGCCAACGATGTGCCACATGGATAAAGAAGCTGTGTGACCCAACCACGTGTGGTTCAGGTCTGTTAGATCGTAAGAACCGCAACCTGTATGCTCGTTTGCTCCTTCACATGCTGAAAAGAGGGGTCCTGGAAGCGCCATTCACCAGCAAACCAGAGCCTGGTAACCTCAAGACACTTCCTACCTATATGGTAAGAATTCATCAAGTTATAAGTGTTGTAATGCCACCTAGTAGTGATACAATTTACTTGTTTCATACATTTACACCTTCATCTGTAGTAGAAAAACATCAAAATGCTCTCCTAGTCAAGTTTTGGAACATTTTTTGAGGCAGCCCAAGTAGCTGCAACTCATAAAATATCATTGCAATGTGTTGCATATATGCTCAGTTAACTCTCTGCTATCTTTGAATTTTAATTTGTAGTCCATCTACTTTGATGAGCCACTGAGTGGTCGGTCTGTGGAGCACAGCAACACAGATCTGCCTGACTGGGTGACAGGAGAGCTGGGTGGCTATACTGATGATAGTTTGGCTATTGGTCTGGTAAAGGACAGAACAAGTTCCACACCAAATGCAGCTCATCACAGGTACTTTTCCACTACTTTATCTCAGTTAAATATACGCAGGTATAGTTTGAAAATATGGCTAAATAAAACATGGGAATGATCATTAAGCATCTGGCTTTATCATGTTCATAGATTTAAGTGTGTTTGCAAGGCACTGTATTTTAAGGCTTTTTTGAGGTTTGCAACAGTTAAATGAATTTGTTTTATTTCCAAAACCATATACACTACAAGCATGAGGTAATGGAATTTTTTTCTTATAAATTTGATTTGATTATTATGCACTTGTGCATGATGAATAGATAATATAAGAGGTTCCTCATCCTCTTGTATTATCATCAGTTCTGTTTGTATGCATTGTACTTGTGCTTTATAAGGAGATACAGTATTAATGAATTGCATTGTTCACTGCCATGGCCAGAAATCTGTAGGTAAATTGGCAGGTGTGCGTGTCCCATTGATGTGGATTCAGAATTTTTAAGATTGCATATCAGTCCCATCTACCATAATGTTTTGTAGTGGGTTTGTATGTAGCTGACATCTCAGAAGACTGCCTCTCTAGATGAATGTGCTTTTGTAATTCTGTGATGATGTGATCTAAATTTCAAATGAAAGTGATTAACATGTTTATTAATAATATCACCTTCCTCTGTGGAAGCAGAATCTACTCTCATTTATCACTAAATGGGTTTTTCCATTATAGGAACCGACTGAAATGTGTCAAATTGGGTAACGCCTGTCAGGGGCTTCTGTGTTTTGATAGTGGAATTTCAGCATAAGAGAGTTCACATGTGCTTATCAAAATGGCGCTGAGAGGTTCTGCATCACATTTCACAAACAAAAGTCAAATTTATGGATTCTAGTATTGTATTATGTTCCTGTGCAGATAGTGTTTATTGAAAAGAGAGTTCTCCCCCTTTTCCAGTCAGTTACTGACAAAAACAACCTTTGGGTCAGATACAGAAGATGCTGAATATAGCACACAAGATTTTGTTCAGGCATTTTCTTTTAAAGCACTTTTTTTATTAGACTGAAAACACTGAACCTGGCTGTGAAGTTGGATCCAGATAGCATTCATGACTGGTCACCCGTCATATTTGCTCACTAGTGTTATCTGAAAAGCTGAAGACATTGCCATGTTCTTGCATCAGGCTGCATGAGCTGTCCGTTCTGACTTTTCAAAGAGAAATACTTCAAAACAACACAAGAGGATGAGGAACCTTGCATATTATCTATCCATCTTTGTTTACCTCTCCTCTCAACAAGTTCCCAGTTGCTGAATCTGAGTTCTAAATCCCTCAGACAAGCAAGTAAAGTACAGAGTAAAGTTTGAAGCTCATTATCTTGCTCTCTCTTTCTTAAATTGTTTGGTTTCTTTTCTTGTGCAATCATGAGTTAAATACCTAATACATAAATCTATGTATTATACACAATATCTATGTATAAGTAGAATTGTGCTGCTTGATTAAAATGGCTCGACTGAAAGCTCATGTGCTGCTCAGGTGCAGGCACACACATACACTCAGATGTGTGAGGTCTTTCACCATGCCTCACTAAACTGTAAGGCCATCTCAGCTGGCTTAGGGATATTTCCTTTGACTGCAGGTAGTTCAGTGGCTCAGCAAACTGATGTTAATAATGTCTCTGGGATTTTTATTCCAGTTAATAGGGAAAGGCAAATCAGAGGCCAGTGGCTTGTTATACTCATTAGCATAATATAAAGCGATTCCTCTAAGTGTAGTAAATAGAGCTTAATATCCACCAGGGCAATGTGTGAGAGAGAGTGCAGGCCCTCTACTGCCATATTTAATTTACTTATCTTATTGTCAGGGGTTGCTGAATATTTGAGCCAAAGAAAGTGATCATTAAGACTTGTCTTTAAATATTTGTCACAGTTAAACTTGCATTATCCAGCCCATGTCAAACTAGCAGACATTATTATCCATCCATCCATCCATTTTCCTCTGCTTATCCGGGACCGGGTCGCGGGGGCAGCAGTCTAAGCAAAGATGCCCAGACTTCCCTCTCTCCAGACACTTCCTCCAGCTCCTCCGGGGGAATGCTGAGG